GCTTAATTTGCATTTGAGCATTTTTGTGATCTCGTGTTGCAATGCAATTATCAAGTGACTATTGAATGAAAGACCCTCGAGTCTTTGTTCACTCACCGCGATTTTAAATACGAGGGGAGGGGAGTTTATTTTATTTATTTATCTATTTACTGAGGAAGATATACGTACATTTCAAAAAATAAAAATAAGAGAACAGTTAGTCCTGCCGTTGAGTTAAGCTCGTTCGGCAGGATAAATTTATATTTCATATAGAAACAAAAAATAATGTATAAACATGAAAAGCTTAACTTTAGGTGGCTGACACTACGTTCCCTTTACACAGCGTCAAGGCACAACTGGCGGAGCTAATCCTTTATTCCGGCGGACATGATTTTATGATTAACAAGACTAATTGTAAGTGTAGACTGAAGTTCTCCCCTGGTAAAAATTGGCGATAAGAGGTGCGTTTCAAAATACTATAAGAATTCTTGTAACCGACTAAAGGAGGCGATAGAAAATCATATAGCTGGCTGTAGAAAGCGGAGAAAATCTTAGAGCCGGGCTATACGAAGCGATGAAGGCGGGCTATAGTTCCTTTCGCCGGATTACACACTTTATCGCCATCTCCTATGAAAGGCTATACTAACAAATTGTGTCGAAATTCGTGTGCTTTGAAAATCATTGAGTTTGATACTGGACCACCTTAATATTTACAAAACACACATTATATTTTCCTTTAAACATATTTTGTTTAATCAATTATTAAAATGAGAGCAATCCATACGGAGCGTGCTAACATTTCAAAATCATGAGTTGAAAAACGCTGACTCCGCCAGATTAAATATTGGAGCCTAACACAAAGCGGAGCGGCGACGCACTGGCGCCTACAAACCTAACAGCGATACTTCCCGCATTACGCAACGCGTGAAGTATCCCTGTTAGGTTTGTAGGCGCCAATGCGCCGCAGCGTACCACGGCGCTTGAAGCAACTATTTCACACCAGTGGTTTTGCACTGTATCATACGAAATTGAAGGCGCGCTAGGAATGGCAGGCATCCGTCAAAAGTACAGAGCTTTCCTCGCAAAATAAATCAAGATACTACGGTCCAAAAAGAGAGCGCTAGTCCAAAAAGTAACCAAGTCCTATATAGCATCCGTAATTAGTAACGTTTAGCATACACTTTATCGCCTGGCTATTGCTTTATCGCCATCGGCTATAAAAGGCTATAAGAAATTGTGTAGCCGGCTATAGAACTTATTGGAAATCTTACAGCCGGCTGTAGGTCTATGATACTTAGGAACAAAGATTCTACTGCCGATTTTTACGAGGGTCCTGGCATATGGTTACACAGGATATCAATGTTGATGAAACTGGCATGCATAAAAGGACAGTCCGTCGAATCGAGGGTATTATTGCAGCTTACTTTCTTGCCCCTGGTAGCTTGTTTTTAGGATCACTGTGGGATTTGGCCTGATTGATTTTACTAACTTATTTACTGAAGAAGGTACGTACATTTCAAAAAATGAAAATAAGAGAACATTAAGTCCTGCCGTTGAGTTGAGCTCGTTCGGCAGGACAATTACATTATTTACGTATGGAAACAAAATAATAATGGATCAACAAGAAAAGCTTAACTGAAAGTGGCTAACACTGTATTCCCTACACGCAGCGTCAAGGCACAACTGGCGGAGCTAATCCTTCATTTCGGCGGACATGATTTTATGATTAACAAGACTAATTGTAAGTGTAGACAGAAGCAGGAAGCTCTCCTGGCATTTGGTTACACAGCATAACAATGTTGTAGAAACTGGCATGCATAAAAAGACAGTCCGTCGAAACAAGGGTATTATCGCAGCTTCCTTTCTTGCCCTTGGTAGCCTGGTTTTAGGATTACCGTGGGGTTCCGCCTGATCGGGGATCATTATTGTAACCATTTGAAATTTTCTGCCTTGTGCCTTCGGAATTTTTCTTCTTTTGTGATTTTATGCTGCGATGATCATTTCGGCCAAATGACCATCCACTTTTGCAAACCTGTCGCCCATTCGCAAATCATGACCGAGGGCTCTCTTCGAAATAACACAAATTGTAAAATGTGTATCAAAACCCGACAGAATTACCGATAAATAACGAAGACGATCAACGGAATTTTGCAATGTCAGACAACCGAGGCTGGCTACGCGACTCCTTTAAAACCGGTTAGTCCATTGCACGACTATCTCATTACTCGCTTCTATAGGACTCACCAATGTACTTGAAGCAACATGCTTCTAAGTTATGTTAAGAGTAATCATAGTCACGGAAAACCTGAAATTGTCAGGGAAACATCGTTCACTTATCCATTAAACCACACGCTAATGACAAATCAGATGATGACACAGCCGCTTCTACAAAACATTTGTCCAGCAATCATCTGCTTTTCAGCAGTTCATTAAAAATCGCAGCCGCGTTTCAGGTATTAGTCTATCGGAATGGGCCTGTTGTGAGCATAGCTACAGCACAAAATAAGTTGTTTCTTTCAGAAAATGGCTCAAAATTCACGATGTGCGAACCGGGAAATACACTCCTAACTTCACAATCTGTGTAAGAAATATGCGTTTTTTTAAGCTTCCCGCTTCAAAATCGATACTATGGCACATTTTGTGAGAGGTAAGAGAAGTCGTTCTATCCAACCCATGTGCACTATACCTGCATGTCGACTATTGATTGATACTTGCTGCCCCCAGGAAGGAATTGGATTGGAAAAGGAAGGAAGTCTTCACCTACCCGGCTCACTGGTAGGACTTAAGCGGGTTTGAATTGAGCCATGGAACTAATATCCCTTGAATCCTAAGTACCTGGTCTGAATTCTAATGCCTGCTGCCCCAAGAAAGGAATATGATAGGGAAAGGAAAGGTATCTTCACCTACCCGGCTCACTGGTAGGACTTGAGTGGGTGTGGAATGAGCCATGGAAGTGGAACTACCCAATCCCAATACAAAATCTCAAAACTTGCTGTTCCCGAATTATGAATGAATATACAGATCCAAATCCAAAGAACTTGGAGTCCTTGAAACAGACGTGCAAAATGTGCTCGATCGCCCGCAAGGAAAGCGGGAGGACGGTGGTGTATACTCCGGCGGGCGTAGTATAGGCAATTTGCACATCGCGAAACATGCATAACGGTGCAGCGTTGGAAGTATTTCTCCTATGTCGAAGGCGCTATAACATTGTGGCGTGCGATGTCGAAGGCGCTATGTGTGGTGCACGCGGGCGGACCTTCAGCTGACCACGATAATTCGAATTCGCAGCGCGAAATAAAAATACTGGAGGTACATCCTCTTCGCCGCAAACTCTGAAAATGCTTTGTTTTTTATGAAACGTATCAAGTACTGCTCGCACACTGATTTTTGTGTAAATCAAGGCGGTGGCTTCCATGCTTCGTTGATATTATCTACACTACATTCAGTTTTTGTTCAAGGTATTACTTCGACCGGTTGAGTTTTTTAATTGGTTAATTTTTTTGTCACAATTACGTCGACCGCGAAAATTCTCGTAAATAGGGCAAATTTGGGTGGGCTGATGAAAGTGTACACTGAAGAACTCTCTACACCCCTTTGGCTTTTGAGAGTCCTATCGGGAAAAGAAGGAAATCCCTCTGTTACTGGCTCGCTGGGAGGACTTTCATCTATTGATTCGAAATCAGCCACGGAGCTCCATTCCTTGGAACCTCTAGAATCGCCGCCCCTCCCAATTCTTGCATTGTATCCGTTACTAGGAAAACTACACCTCCTGGTCGTCACGCAACCCTACCCCTTGAGAGCGCTTCGCGCTAAAAAGAGCTGATCAAAGGGACTTTGAACACAGCCTGGCATCGCATAAAAAACTGGAGATCAATTTGAATCTTTGTCTTCACCAGAATGTCAACTAAAATTGGCTGACAAAAAATCAGTGCTTTTCACAGTACTTAGTCAAAAAATTAAGTTCTGTTTGAAGTCTTCGTAAGACAAACTTCGTGAAATTTCAAAATTCATGCGCGTATCGCGACAAAATTGACGAGGCTACGAAATTCGAAGCTTATTCGTGTCAAAAAATTAAGTTCTTTTTCAGTACCTTCGTATGACAAACTTCGTGAAGTTTCAAAATTCATGCGCGTATCGCGACAAAATTGACGTGGCTACGAAATTCGAAGCTTATTCGTGGCCTAGGGTGCACTGTCAGCACAATCAGTGGCGCGGCGTGGATGATGGATCATCGATATTTCCCCATTTGAAGCTGTGGTAAAGAATCGATTATTCGGGTGTTCGTTGTGAACACCATTTTAATCGATCCTTTTCCATAGATTTAAATGGTACACCAATCGATAAATCGCAAAGCACACCACACAACTGAACACAATCGAGATCAAGCGGACAGGTGCACGAGAAATCAATGCGCAAGAGATTGCATACTTTCTAGGCTGTCTTGAAAAACTAGCGTGGTATGAGACGGAAAATTCCGGATCTTCTTGGGGAATTTTCAAACTTATTTTGAGTTTCCAAATCGCCTCTGAAAAATCAGTTATTTTCACACCAGCAGATATCCTCCAGGACCATCAATAAAAAATAAATTGACAATTTTAAGACCAACACAAACACAACGAGCAAAGAATTTATTCTTAAAACTTACCTACAGGAGTTAAATTTGATCCCTTCACAACTCCCTATTAAAATGAAGATGTCGATACAGTGGTAGTTCAGTAGGAATCAGGATAAGAGTTGATCATTATCCATATCAATGAGTCGAAAGATTAACAACAAATAGTAAAAAAAAACACTGAACACATGCACACTAAATCATCTGTGATGTAAATCATCATGTGTGATGAATCTCTTTCACTATCTCGTTCCTTGGGCATTTATTTTCAGCTGTTAGGTCCGATTTCTTGAAAACGGAAATTGCAGTTGACTAATATACCAAGGCCTTGAAGCATATTATTTTAAGTTGGTGTCACAACTAAGGAAAACCGTAGAGTAGTCAAGTTCAATGAAAGAGATCTTTCTTCTTCATAGAGCTCAATGAAATATTTATTAAGGTAAATCGCAAAATGCAGAGGTGACAATGTTTCAATACTACGAGCTAAAAAAAAAATCTACACCATAGATTACTTGAGAATAGGTACGAGTTATTTGCATTCGGTGTATCTCGGAGCATCTGCCTTAACCTAATCACAAGTGAGAGAATGATAAAATACAAACAAGGCGCAATATAAAGAAGGTACAAATAAGAAGTTACGATAATTAAAGACTTGGATATGCAAAAAATATAACTTATAGAATAAACAATAGAACAAACATTGAAAAACAACAAGCGATAAATGTTATTGCTTTTGAATATATATTAAACACAATAAAAGGTAGAAATGCTTAAAAAAAAAGCAATTTGTTTGTCATAAATACTTTGATAGTTAAAAAGAATAGTAATACAAATGAAATAAAACTAACTTCTTACTTTGAAAAAATAAAAAATTGGTGCTAACTAGGAGCAGTGTTTGGAGGAGCTCGAATCATGTTCAATGCTGATCAGTCCTTGAGAAGGTGTATTTCCTGTAGAGTATTAATGTCTTGGTTTGTAAAATGGAACTGAAGAATCGTGTAACTTACTGTAAAACTAGAGTTTCAAAAGTCATGACGTATATAAAAGGCTGCAGGAGATTGGTTTTCTTCTCCTAACGTTTCAGGAATATTCATTGGATGTCAGAAATTCAAGGGACACTCGAGGAGAGCATTTTTGACATGAAAAAAAGCCACGAATGCTCACTGAGTCAACTGCATGAAGAGTGTAAATACTTCTGGAAAAATGAATCTTTCAACTACGCATAGCTTTTGGTGACGCTAATTGATTTGAAATGGAGAGTGAGGGGAGTGATGAAAGGGAAACAAAAACGAAAATTAAACGTTGACAGACACAACAAAAATCGGTAAACTCTAATTCTTCGTTCCAGAATTTGGGTTTGAGATATCCCTTAAATGATGAGCACAGAATTTCTTGAATTCTCAGAGCGACTAGGACAGCAAGATGAAAATTCTCAGAAAAATTCCAGCATAACAGTTTGCGAGTTTTCCCTTGGGGGGAAAAAATACGGAAGGAAAGTCTGACTATTGCAATAGAGTTAGTATGTTTCCGCTTGAACACATATATTTATTACATTTTAGGGTCAGGCTTGAGGATTGAAACAGGCAACAGTGAACAGATTCGAAATTCCAAGCTTACAAATTTCAACAAAACTTCCGGAATGTACCACGAGTTGAAAAGGAAAAATATTTTATACAGAAATACATCAACACCTCCACATGGAGTTCTAGATATGTTTTTGCGAGAACTAAGGGAGTGTACCTACAAATTAAAGAAAAACAATGGAATAGTGAGTAAAAATAACCACATTTACACTTGACAGAGATACAAGTTAAGTAAGAGAGCAAAACCTTTGGTAAAAGTATAACTTACGATAACAACTCTCACTTTACTCCTAAACAAGAAGCGCTGCTTTGAATCTTATACAACGAAGAAAAAAAAGTGAAGGTGGGGGAAAAAAGAGATCCTTTATAAGACAAAACCTTACAGATGCACAATAACAAATTCGAATTAGAATTCAATGACCCGTAGAGTTAAAGAATAAAAATTTCAATGGAAAACTGGGAAGAGTAACAAGACTTCCAGGAGTCGGAAAAGTGGATAATCTCTAATATTGAGTTTGAGTGATTACCGGGTTTAAAGCAAGAAAAATCTATTGAGGGGAGTTGGTGGGCTCAGCACATACTTAAAGTATTGAAGAATAATGAAATGAAATTCAATTAGTGAACTGTATCAAGATGAGTTTGCCTCGCTATCAATATTAAATGCTTGAGTAAAATCTAAAAAGAATGGTGGGTCATAGAGAGCTAAAATATTATGACTTTTCCAGCGCAAAAAAGCTTAATGAAATTACTTAACTATTAGAAAATGGTACAATGATTACATAATAATTATCACAAAAGAAATTTTGAACAACCCAAATATTACTACACAAATTTATTGTTGGCGTCAATAGAAATAATACTGAAAAATTCATCACCAAAGTCAATATTAAAAAAATTCATGAGTACTTCATAAGATGCTTAAGATTGTAAAGAAAAAAAGTTCATCTTAGAATAGTCTTAAGGGTACAGCTACGCTGCAAATACAGAATAACCATAAAATATTGAGCAAAGTTTTTCCTAATCTTTACAATAGAGTAAATAAATAAATCTTCCGAGATGAAAAATCTTACGCAAACGCAGGGACTCAGCAAAAAACCTTCACAAAAATTGCAGAACTTACAAGAGGGCAAAATAATTAAAAATTCAAGAAAAAGCAAATCCTTCTATCATTCTTTGTTTCAGGATATCATAAAAAAGCGTCTTTCTCTCTTTGAAAATATAGGTTCTGCCATTCAAAACTGCATTGAGAAAATAGGAAAAACAAAGCTTCAAAATTATATAGAAGAAAATATAGGGAAAAGCTAATCATTCCGTTATCGGTAGGAAACTACTGAGCAAGACGAAAACAAGCTTGTTCGCTCATAAACCACTTGGGCTCTCAGATGGATGTGGTTTATCCACTAATTAGCTATAAGTACTCTCTTAGCAGTCAAGTCAGACCTCCAGTTCACACCTACAGGAGGGAATTTTAAAGATTTTCCAAGTGCCTAAAATATTCTATGTCCTGAGATATAGTTTCTTTCGGTCAGTGCAATATTTTCTTATTTTATTTGAATAAAGGCCAGAAGGGGGGGGGGGCGTAGGTATACAGTCAAAATACTTCATATTAAGAGTGAATGAACGGTCTCAACACGATTTGTACTTATCTGTGATGTTAAAGTATTTTCCATCAATATTGATGAAAATTCATTCATCAGAAAGCCAAGATGAAAAGGATTCGTCGAGATCTGAATTTCTTAGGATGCAATTTTTATTTCTGGCATCCTTTAGTCAGAATAACCTATGGAATGTTGGTTCTACAAAAAAAAAAAAAAAAAACTTTTTTCTTCTGGAAAACTAAAAAAATTAACAAAAACATAAAAAAATAACTTAGGACTAAAAACAAATATATGCTGTAAGCTAACGAGAATGTGATGGAACGTAACGCTTTTGTTGCTGAAAGCCAAAAACAAACTTCTAGGTAAAGCTATACCAATGAGGATGATCCCTAAAAAGACTACTGAATAGAATATTTCAACGCTTACAAATGAGTATCAGAAAAAAATTTCACAGGCTAATGTAAACTGAAGATGCAGTTATGCAGATAAAAAAGAAGTGTAGAAGGTAAATTGTATGAGGTATTATAGTAGGCAACCAAATAGGCCTGCACGCCTTGGGAAAAGACAACATTTTTCATTTCTCTCATTTTTTTAAAAAAAAAAAAATTATATCCTACAACTGCGCAAATTTCACATTATTCTTATCAGGCAGTGAGAGTTACAACATAAGTTTTGGGCAGCACATTTATGAAAACATAGCAAAAGTTCTGCTACTTTCATGATTGTAAAGTATTCCATTTTTAAATTTAAGTCGAGTGATTCTCAATAGAGACTTCTCAATTGCTATTGAATGATAAAAAATTCAGATAATATCTAAAGTGCTGTTGGTTTTCGAGCTGAAAATGTGTGATCGAGTGGTTGAGAAGAACTAGTATACATTTTTGTAGTCACTTGAACTTTGAATGCAGAACCAAATGATTTGGCAGATGAAAACTCAGGGTGTTGGCAACCAACATTACAACTGTAGTGATGAAATTAAGCAGGAGTCAAAAAACAGCTGACGGTTTAAATTCTTAAAGATCCGTTAGAATAAAGAAGCTGGCTTTTTAAACTTTTAAATAATCAATCTTATCCCTCCAACTTATGACAGATTAAACGGTATTAAGTGCTTATTATTCTGACTAGGAAGGCTGCCTTTTCAGCATTTTTATACAAAAGGCATGAGGCATTTAAACCAGGGGTGGGAAAAATTCCTGAGAGAGAAAACTATTCTTAATTTCAGCCTTAAAATTCCCTCACTCCGCCAAAAAAGGGAGTACAAAATTAAATCAAAAGCTTTCCACCTGGGCTTAAGGATTTCTTAAGCTCCAGGAAGTCGCATGTCAGCATTTTCTGCCCCCTGTTTAAAAGCTTTTAGCATTAAATAATACAAATTAGTATTGCTCATAACTTTCAATTGAACACAAGCACGTCCAAAATGGTGAGGATGATAAAACAATTTGACCGAGATATTGAAAAACCACTGGATCAGTAGATTCCGAAAAGAAACTACGAAATTGAGCTCTAATGAGTGATCAAGCATCAAAAATCTAAGTTCATGCCAAAAAAGGTGGTTGGCTAAGGGTGTGGCAGAAAATTTGCCACTTCGCATAAATGTTTTGCATTTGATGTGTTAAAACGAAACACGGGTACCATTTAATGTAGGCTAAAGTAGAAATAGTTATCTTAGAGTTTCTGCTCGCAAACATGTCAAGCTTGCTGAGTCTCACTGAATTTAACTGCACCTTGTGCTTTCTCACCTGAATGAACCGCCAATTAGGCGAAAATTAATTACAGTGAATGCTCGACTTCTTCAAAATACAAAAAAAGATCTTAGTCTTACGAGACTATGATTCTTGGAAAGGGAACAAAAATGTAACTAGATACAACCATGAGGAATGAGACATAAAAGGTATTACTCCTTGGTCAGGTACAGGAAAAATCCTAGGTAAAAAAAAAAGAGAGAAAATATCAAGTGCACAGACCTTGAGCTGCGGATAAGAAAATCAATGGAAAACAAAAAAAAATTTCCCGCAAAACGAACGATGAAACTCAATGACTGAATGGTTAACTTTCAAGAACAAAAGGTAACAAACCCGACTATGAAAATCAGGAGAAAATATAAGGAAGGTAAAGCTTACCTTTTACATGATTGGTCTCCGCATTGTTTTGACTGCCACTTGAGAGAGGCAAAAATAATATTAGAGAGAACTTACTGATTTCAGAAGTAACGCTGAGGACAGGAACGAATATAGAAGGCTAAGATGAGAGCTACTCCTGTCGGCTGAATTGAGGACTCCCCGAAATGCGAGATTGGGTTCCTTTGATTCTGAAAACACCAGTAAAATAATATGTTACAAGAGCCGTGCTAACATTTAAAACTTAAGAAAAGAAAATCAATGTACCCTTATTTTTCCTTTGTATTCATTCCCTTTGTATGTAAATTGACGAAAAAAATTGGCTTGAAATTCTCAACATGGTCATGGAGACTGGGTTTGGGATGTAACATAATTACGCTGCAGAAAAAGTGGCCCTTAATTCTGTCACCAGCAGGTCAATTATTGAAATTTATGGACAAAGAAGATAAAAAGGATATGGAGGGATCCTATTGGCAGAAGTGGGTGGTAGCAATGGACAAAGGATGTAGGTAATAGACTAACTAACGGCAACGTACAAAAGACCATATAGTAAGTCCATCATTTTCTTCTTTAGTCTAAGGGAACCACCCACTTCAAACAAAGTAGGATCATTTCATACTCTCTGTGCCTTCTTTGTCTGTTGCTTTGTCTATCAATTTCAATAATCAGCCTGCAGATGGAAATCACTGTTAAATGGGCCTGTTGCAAACTTTTGCTGGAACAAAAATAAGAGTTGTCACTCATAGAAAGTGTCTCAAAAATCACTATGAGTGCATCGGCAAAGTCTGAAATGTACTCCTTACTTCACAATTTGCATAAGGAATTTGCACTTTTTCGAGCTTCCCGCTTCAAAAACAATACCACGGCACAGGTGAAAATTTCATTAGATGAGTCATTCCATCCAATCCCTGCTCACAAGGACACTACGCAACATTCAACATAGCCGACGCCAATCCGTCAAAACACATGTGATGGGGACGATGATTCTAACCACCTGATATCAACCGGCGTGTTTACATTTACATTTTTCTCGCTTTGATAAATATCCGTCTTGATTGACCTCGTGCTCTCCTCAACTTGCGTGCGGAAGCGTCGGCCATGTTGAGCAGGGATTGAATGGAACGACTCCTCTAATGAAATGTTCACCTGTGCTGTGGTATCCTTTTTGAAATGGGAGGCTTAAAAAAACGCATTTCTTACACAGATTGTGATGTTAGGAGTGCATTTCAGAGTTTGCCGATGCCCTTATTGAGATTTTTAAGACATTATTCATAAGGACCAACTCTAATTTTTGCTCTAGCAAAAGTTTGCAACCGGCCCATTGAATCAAGATTCGCTGTGTCAATGCTAATTTGAAAGTAGAGTACATTGGTAGTGCATGTAGTAATTTAAATAGGACTGCCAATATTTTTCTTGGATCAAAAAAGTCGTGGGATCGAAGGTTCTAATATCCAGGTTTTCTTGTAAGTAACCTAACACTTGAAGAGCATGGAGCAAAGAGATTAGTTTCAGGAAATATTACTTAATAACTTACCAAACAGTTCAACAGTAGCGCTTGCAACGCCTAGCTGGTTTCCTGCTTTGCATTCATAACGGCCATATTGGTGTTTCTCAATTGACAAAACGCGAATGACTGCATCAGTGTGTCCGGCATACTCTGAAGCTTTCACAGCCTGAGAGATGCTGAGGAAAAAAAAATTCACATGTATTTTCATAACACTGCATTTCTTAAAGAGTTGAGAAGAAGAGCACTATGATAGTAAATTTAGGAGGCTTCCCTGATTTGAAAGAGCCGATTTTGCGGAGCTTCACGAACCCAGAGAAAGCTCACGTTATATTAGCTTTTCACAGCAAAATAAAGCCCTACTAGTAACTCTTCCTGCCATTTTAGAACATAAAATATGAACTGGTAAGAATTTTCTGGCAATTTTGGAAAATGCAACTAAATATCATTCAAGGGCCTAAAAACAATTGTCAAGACCTTAAAATATACCTTAGAAATGGGATTTCCTCTTCCTACAACTTCTGTTCAGAAGAACACAGAAATTTGTGTAGACACAAATTTCTGTACCATATAGTTCCTCATCAGACCTGATAGTTCGCACTAAACGATGATTTACTGCAGAAATAAACTACGAGAGCCAACAAACCTGTAGTGTTCATTGCTGTTGAGTTGGATGCCATCCTTGTACCAGGTGATAGTTGGCGATGGGTATGCTTCGACACGGCACACCAGATCGATATCATACTTCAGCGACTGCCCAATTCGCGCCTCAGGGACTGTGATCACAGGCTTGAATTCAACTTCCACTATCATTTCCCTTGTCACATTCTTGCCTATACCATTATCAGCTGTGCAATAATAGACTCCACGGTCGGTTCTACTCACACTTTGGAAGCGAAAAACTTGCTCACTGAAATTACAGACATAAAAAAATATTAGAATGTAGGATCTCATTTGATATCAGAAAAAATTTCCAATGAATGTGCCTGGACTAGAGTTCTTAAATTAGGAACGGTATAATTTTACTTTTTGGACTATCCTTTTTGAAAAACACAAGTTTAAGATGAATCATCTATTCTGCCGTGCTGAGGAAAAACACCGCACAAACATTTAATAGTTTAAAATTTCTCCTAATAAAATTTTTAATTTTGATGGAAGATTTAAAGAATATTTTTTCTAGAAATTTTCAGGCAGTTTAGATCCAATAGCAAATAAAATTTTCTGAAAAATTTTAAGAAAAATAAACACAGATTTCCCTGAAAATTCATATGTTATCACAGGAAATTTGAAGAACTCAGGAGGCTCATATAGTGTTCTGCTTCAGCACAGCGGTGTTAACTATTAGAGATTGAACTGCCAAGATCAAAATTATTACAGATTGGGAATTCAAGATGATTCAGGACTTTCTGCTTTATACCACTGAACGGAGCCTGATGAGAAAACACCAGCAAAAATTTCGAGGTGACGAGACCTTGAGTAATTTTACAATCTCATCTATTTGATGGTTGTTTGATAAATGAACATTGGTGATCTTTGAAAAATTCCTCCCTCCAATGAAGAAGACTTTAAAGTTTCCTTCTCACTTCTCATCTGCAAACTACGACCACACCACTACCTGATACAGTGTTCGAAACTCACAGGCACTAAGGCGCCAAAGAAGTCGGTCATGGCGCCTAAAAAATGAAAGCTCTGCGCCAACGTGGCCCCTGAAAATTGCCTCCCCCACCCCCCCAAATAAATTCAAATTTTGAAGCTTTCCTCTTCCCCGAGTTACAGCTACTAGTTCTGTAACTAAAACTTGCGTCTAACTTTTCACTAAATGCGCCATGATATGTACCTAGGCAAAAAGTCAATTTGGCCCCTAAAAATGGAGCTTAATGGGTCACATGGCTCCTGAAACTCAAAGGTGAGCTTCGAAATACTGATCCGATAGCAGTCTTGGATTGATCCAGAATAACAACGCTACAGTTGGCAGTTACAGAAACCAGCACATTGCGCAAAAGTAGACGAGCACTGAGGTATCTAAAGAGAATTCTACGAGAGGCAAAGATGAGATTATTACTTGGTAGTTTGGGCACCAGTTGGTTTGACAGCACTGTTCTTTCTCTTCCACGTGATTTTTGGAGGAGGATATCCACTGGCAAGACATTCAAGGCGAACCATTTTGCCTTCTTCTGCAGTGATAGTCTTAGTGGAGTTTTCCGAGATAACAGGCGATTGTCGGACCTGCAAACTGACCTCCTTCGTGATTGAATCATTAGGTGGATCCATAACTAGACATTGGTACACACCTGCATCTTTCACCTTAATATCCTTCACCTGGAAAGTAAAAAAGGCTAGATTGAAACAGAAGTTTGCCAAGAAAGCAGCAGGGTTGCCAAAGAGTTACGAAAATGAGACACCCTGACATTTCCCAGACACATTTTGTTAAAATTCTCTAACAACTGAAGATATGCCAATTGGCTAAGAAGTCATAGTTTGAAACAGTTGAAACTTGACATTTTATGGTTCACACTTATTATAGATAGCAAATGAAGGTGACTTTTAACAATTTTTCTATTACACTTTCGACATTTTCCCTGACTCTTCTAATAATTGTGCCTCAGTTTTAAATTTTAAAAGACATCAGCAGAAATTCAAGTAGAAATTTTGGGACAGATTCCATTTTTCTGAAACTTGATTGGTACCTGATCAATTTTCAACAAAAAACTTTCAATCAATATTAGCGCCCTGCAACATTCATAATCCAGACTATCATTTTGACCCTTTTTGACCATAGAACACGATAAAAAATTCCAGGATTAGAGTAACAGGTAACGCAAATATCATAAGCGTCAGAAATAACACCGCAAGACATTGAGTTTTCAGAAGTTGATGCGGTTTGCAGAGATGATGCGAGTGACAACAAATCACAAACAAAGGGTGGGGATTCGCAAGCAGTCCGCTGGAGCACATTTCACTCACTCGGGCACTTCGATTTTTCAAACATTCAAATCCCCAAGAGTAAAATTCGCAAAATATTCTCTGAAAATTCTGTGTTTTTCAATTTCCCTAACATATAGTTAGCTTGGGAAACAGAATTCCCTGACGTTATTCCTGATTTCCCAGTCCAAGATATCCATTAGATAAAAAGGCACTGTTCATCTCACAGCCACCGTTTGATCAAAGTTTCTCTGGCCAGTTGGTGTGCAGAACTCCTTCAACACTCTATCACAGTTCGGTATCTGACTCCTCGATCAGCGCACAAGTTCAGAGATAGAGATGCAATTCAAAGATGAAATCCAGTAAATGACCAGTTTACGATTAATTTTCAGGGACGTTTTCAAGTTTCAGTTTACGATTTTCAGGGACTGATGTTTGGGGATTATTGGGGGATTAATGATGAGGTTCCGGGGAAATTAAAGAGACAGGGAATAAATAAGGCAGCAAGAACAATTCTAGAAGAAATGAGTAGGTTGAGACTGCTCAAGGGTTTTTAGGTGATAGACAACAGCTCAACATTAGAACTGGCTTAAATAGGGAAAGGAAAATTAAGGGAATTCAGAAGTTAGGGATTGTTAATGAAACTAAAAGTTTAAAGAGTTCAGGCAAAGTACTTAATAGAAATAATGAGTGGGTAAAAGTAAATAGGGATGTAGGATTAAAAATTTGGTATGGGAATGTAAACGGGTTGATTAGAAGAATTGACGAAATTAGGGATTGGGCAAATGAGGGTAAATTTGATATTTTAGGAATGGGGGAGACGCATATAACGGATAATGTAGCGGATGGGGAACTTAAAATTGAGGGATATAATTTGATTAGGGCTAATTCGTACAGTACGCATACAGGGGGGGTGGTAATGTATGTAAAAAAGGGATTAGATTGTTTAGGGACTGAGGTAATATCAAATAAACTATTTTGGGTTATTAGTGTGGGTATAAAAAA